TAGTCTTGAGAAAAAAACAAAAAATGTTTTCCCTACATTATGTTCTAAAACATATTTTTGGTAAAATATAAAAGACGGGGTCACATCGGGTAAATAGACACCAAACATGTTAAGCCTTAAAATTGCATGCGCCCGCAAAATCCCAAAAACGACCACACCGAAAATTGCCCATAGGCGATGCTTTAAACGCTTTTATTGCTCATCAGTTTAGTGTTATCAGTGATTAATGGCCCGAGAATTGTTACTCTCACTCAGATGTTCGTGGCGATATGTAACATGTGCGCCGCAATCGTCGTTTTCGCACGTAGGCGCACCTGACGCATGTTTGCGTGTGTATGTGAGGGGCGGGGGACTTAAAATTTTTGGGGGGGTTTTATGCTTCTTTAATTTATTTTATTTTTTTCAGTTAACTTTATTGCTATCACATGTGGGGGCTAAAAATCCCCCTGTGTGATAGCCAATTTACATGACAGGTCCTCTTTATGGAGACATTAGTGGTCTCCCAGACCCCTAATGTCACCTAGGGACCCCCAGAGAAGCTGATAAAGCAGAGATCTGCTTCACCAGCTTCTGAAACTGGAGAGTGACAGCAGAATGCGGAAGTGATGTTATATACAACACTTCCTGCATTCGGAGACTGCAGAGGAGATCAAAGGGAGATTGTTTACCTATCTCCCTTTTGATCTTCTGTCACAGAGCAGCCATGCCGGTCCCGGGCGCATCGGGCACAGCGGATCTCGGGACCGGCAACGGCAGTGACAGCAGCTGCTAATACAAACGATCAGGCGTCTCTAGAGACGCCTGATCGCTTGAATGTAAAGCTCCCAGCAGGCTACTCGTCGGGCTCCACCGTCACAGACGAGAGGACGAGCGGATTTTTCAAGCCCTGTATAAATATAGGCCATTTGCTCCACTCGGGGTATTCCCTACTTGCAGACAGAGCATGTCATAGAGAATGTTTCCACATAAGGCTTACACAAACCTCTTTTCTCCATTTGTGTGCTTTCATGTGAATGTTTATGTATAAAGTCCACCTATTTTCTTAATTCTAGATCTTGTCATAGCATTTCAGAACAACGATCTGCAGTGTCACTCTTGGATTGCATAATTGGTAATCTCTAGTTAGGAAGTAAAGCTTAGGTTTTGCAGAAGCCCTTTACTGGTCAGGAAGTCAATGTCAGCTTACATATTTTGGCAGTTAGGAATATCAACTTTGAAAATATTTTATAACCACTTCAGGACAATTGTTTATCCCTTTAGGACCAGAGCAAATTTTAAATCAAACCGATGTGCATATTTTAATTGGAAAGTCCAGCATGTCACAGATGCATTTTGTATAGAATTTTTTTTCTTTGTTTTTGTAAAATTAGAATTTTACAAAAGTTTACAAACATAAAACCGTTTATAAATATATCAACTTCAAATAAATTGAAAACTTCCAATGCAATGCAGAGTACCCGAATGTATTACAAACTGTGCCACAGACTGCTTTGTGCATCATATTTGCTGTGTTTTGATGTGTCCATTTTTAAGAGCTTCAGCTTTTTCCTTTTTCATATCAATAAATAAGAAAGGTTTTTTTTTTTTAATTCATATTTAATATAGGTAAATATGAAATATTTCATGTGTATTTTTTATATTATTGAAACCAGGGGCGGTCCTGTTCTTCTCACATGATTACCAAGCCAAGCTTGGCTGCTTCACTGAAAAAAGCCTGTTTACAGAGCTGAGGATTTGAAGCTCAAATTTCCAACACAGCTAGGTCAGTCAGAGGAGTGACCTATCCCCTCTCTCTGCCCCATCTCAACTGTGCATGGCTGTATACAGAGTTTTAGGGATTGTTCACACCAAGAGCGGAGCAGATGCAGAGCAGTTACAGAATGAATCTAATCTATTCCAATGGTATTTGGGGCTCTAGTTCACACCACAGCGTTCAGTTCCAGAGCATGTGGAAAAACTGCACCATGCCCTAATTTTCTGCTTGGAATGCACCGGAACTCATGTAAACAGATCAAAAATGCATGCAAACGCACTGAAAGCCTTTTCTTTTTTCCTAAAATGGCTCGGAACGCGGCAAAACACACTGCATGTGCAGAAGCTCATGCAGATCTGGTCCGGATTTAGTGTGACCAAGCCCTTAGAGAGAGAGCAGCTAGTAATGTATGAGAGGTTTAAAAGCTTTCCTCCACCATAACCAGGAAATAGGAGCAGTGGGAGCTCCCTTATTTCTATACTAACAGCCTCCCCCTGTAATGATTAGCTGTGTCATGTTCCGTGGGCTTTAGCACATATTTTAGAGTGGGTAGGAGCCTGACTGGTTGCTGGCAGTGTGTGTAGCTAGCACTAATGAAGGTGGCGATGGTGGAGTACCACTGACTTAAAAGAGAACTATGGGGTAACCTTTTTATCCCATATTTCTCTTTAGGGCCACGGGAGGACAAATACTAACCTCCTCCCTTGACCCAAATCTTAGTATACAGTGGGCTATTGCCCATTATATAATGTGAGCACCGCAGCCAGGACGGATCCCAACAATACTGTCTGGATCCACCCAGCTGCGTGTGTGACAGCTGGCTCTGTCTATCTAGAGGCAGAGCCAGCTGTGCCCGCCCCCATCCGTTCCGCCAGTCAGCGCTGGAGGATCGGGGAGTGGTGACTGACGGTCACGGCTCTATGCAGGGAGATGGTCGGGAAGTGATCGAGCGGCGGTATGTGTTCGCTCACTTCCCGATCAATAGAGCCGACCTGTGACCGTTTCATTGTCACACGTCGGCTCTAACTATGAGGGCGAGTGTAAATCATTCACCTCATAGATCTCCTTTAAGTTTGAAAAATACTGCTGTGGGGGAAGTGGAATCTACAGTATAGAGAGTTGCTTATGATCTCTTTCACATGTGAATATGAGGAATGGCTCTCTGTAAGCCAGCTTTTAGAGTTGATATACACATGCAAGTGGCCTTTTTAATGCTAATACATTTGGATCACGGAGAATAATTGTAGCTAACTATTATTATGAAAATAACATTTATTCTGCTTTTCCTCTCTAGAAATGAAAGGATTTCAGTGCATATAATGTGCATGTGAATTATGTTCTTCTGGCTAAATTAATCATTTCAGGGCTTGCTCTAGGGATTATTGGAACCTAGAATTCATTTATTTTTTTTCACATTTGTTGAAAGTGTTATCACATTAGGTGAGCTGTATGGTCACATGCGCTTTGAAAACCAAATACCAAATACTAAATGTTGAATGCTTAGTCCACATTTTCATGTAAGATCCAATTACCTTTTATCTGCGGGTCATGTAAACTGTAATTGCCAAGAGATAACCAGTTCCTCACAAGCCCTAAAAATGTCCTTTGCCTTTCTGGGAACACCCTAGTCAAATAACTGACATTGGCCCAACTTCTATTCCCATTCTCATTGTATATTTCTATTGCTTTTATGCTCATTTGCTGTAAAGGAACTTCTGCTTCCACCCAGAAGTTTAGACACCTGTAATGAATTGCCTTATTTGACATTCTGTGAAAACACATTATAAAATCGATAATATTATAGTGTGCTACCACAGTCTAGCACTTCATAATGAGATATAGGGGATCTGGATACGGAAAATTCCTAGAAAGCTACAAGCCGGCGTCCCCATTCACACCCAGTGTGAGAGTTTTCTGGTGGAACGAACGGGGGAGGGGGCGGGTACAGCTGGCTCTGCCTCTAGATAGGCAGAGCCAGCTGTCATTCACGCAGCTGGGCGGATCCCGGCACAATTGTCGGGATCCGCTTCAGCTGCGGCATCTTAGTAATACCGCAAGCTACAGCTTAGGGTGACAGGAGGACGCTAGTTTGTGTCCTCCCGTTACCCTAAGGCGAACTATGGGGAAAAGCCTTAACCCCATAGTTCTCCTTTAAGTGTTCCTGTTTTGGCCAATAGAAAGCTACATAATTGGTGGAGGAGATGTTTTTTTAGGCATGAAATCGGGGGGAAAATGCACGTTACTCTTATTTTTCAGGAACTCCTGTTGAAGATTATAGGGCAAAAAATGCACAATAATTCTGCCCCCATAAAAGGTTCGTACTTTTTCCAACAAGCGACACAACACTCCGGTGTGAACGACACCATTGAAAGTAATAGGATTTTTCATGTTGAGTGTTGTCATGCAACAAAACGCTGAGGTGTGAACGGGCCCGAGCAAACAATTTCTGCGCATGGCTCAGTCCTGGATTACGGCATCACTGGTGAGTGTATGAATGCTGAACCGATGAGGAGCATTTTGGAAGGGTGGCATTTAAAATAAACCAAAAGTGTCTCTTTACCCCTTTGACTAAAAATGACATCAGAATGCAGCTCTGCATGCTGATATGAAATCATATTACATTCATTAGTTAAACATATTTTTCTATAACTTACAATTTCTTGTTTTTCACTTCCTGGTTTGCTTTGGCACATATTATGTAATCGCACCCAAGCATTGCATCCTGGGAAAGTTACATCAGCAGAGCATTGCTGGAAAATCTCATCTGTAGTCTCACGAGATCTAAAGGCAAGGCATTTTCCTGCGCTGAGATGATGTGCACAGTCACATGGGTCAGCGTTCCAGTAAGTAAAGGGAGATATAGTAACCTGCTCTTTAGTAAAAAAAATGGCCACTGTGAGAAGAATGGGGAGGAAAAGAAAAATAAGGTATGCAAAGAATTATGTAGAAGTATGTGTTTGAAGATTGTCGTTACTAAACATTTCTAAAGGTGTCTTGGTTGTTATTTTGAAGATATAGGAAAAGTTCCTGTTTACGAAGGGTAATAACTCTTCTCAAGCACTGCAATTCCACTGCCCCTCCTTCGGATTGTTTTTTTTTTTTTTTTTTTTTAAATACAAATGAAATCCCATACGTT